CCAATGTGAAGGTGTTGCAGGGTGCTATGGCCAAGGCCCAACGTGACCACATGTCAGGATCCAGAGCACCCCCAGGTGGCGCTGGAGCCAGGTCCTGTAGTTCCTGTGTTCACCTGCGGGTGTCTCCAGCAGCCAGGAACTGTCAGGAACCTGCAGCTCCAGTACTCACCTGCGGGTGTGCCCCAGCTGTGACTGATCATTCCATCACCTGGTGCTTCCTGGGAGAGTATTTAAGCCCTCCCTGCAGTCAGGAAGCTGGCTCAGTATTGCGTCGTCTGCACCTGACTGACTCCCCTGGCCTGTGCCTTGGAACCTGAACCCTGCTACCTGAACCCTGCTACCTGAACCCTGCTTCCTTCCTGCAACCCTGTCACTGACCTGGCTTGTTAACCGACCACTCTCCTTGAATCCTGTACCACGCTGCCCTATATGTGGTGTGAGGACGCCTGTGCATGGTACCCTGACAGAATACTGAGCCCCACCGACCAAATTGACCACACATGGACCTGCAGGCTTTTGGGTTATTTTAGTTTGGTTTTTCCCTTGCTACTGTCGAGATGGATCTCGAGGGAATATATTATTATGCGCTCCTGGCATCCGAGGAGCCGCAGCACTGCTGTCAGTTGTTTCAAGGCTTCCCCAGAGCAGACCTGTTAGAATACATCCGCAGGGCCCACGGTTTTATGGATCTGACTGGTTGTTCTTTTGAGGAGATCCAACCCCTAATCAAGATCTGTAGCGAACTAGCTCTGAGGGGTGATGAGGGTGATGATTTCTCCCCTTCGTTTACCCTGTCGCAAGTTATGTCGCTGGTGTGGTTCCTAGAGGATGATCCCGCCGGGTTTTCTGCACACTACTCTGAATGCCCACCTGAGGACTTGTTGAAATATATTGAGGCGGTTGAGACCCTTATTGACTGGGGAGTCGTTGTAGTGACCCTTGCCGAACCCTTGCTCCAGAGGTGGTCTGACATACAGTCTAGTCAGTCTAGCCCCTTTACCAAAGCCCGATCGGGGTTAACCATGTTGCCCATGACAACCGCGGAGACTTTTGTTATTTCTGATGAACAAATCCGCTCCCAGTTTTCCGTAGCAACAGTACCTGTCTGCCAGTCAGTTACACCTGTTCCCAAGGCAGCCCAGCAAGACCCCTAATGTCTCTTAGCCGAGTTATCGGTCAGAAGCTGAAAAGCTTGAAGAATGGACAGATTGTTCGGATGATGAGGATTGGAGCGACTGCTCTGAGGATGAGACTGTGGATGACCATTTTTTAGATACTCAGGGTTCGTTCCAGTCCAGCCGGTTCCCGCTCCTGTTGGAGACGATCCTGTTGCCGTTCGGGACGATCCTGTTGCCGTTCGGAACGATCCTGTACCTGTTCGGGACGATCCTGTTTGAGACGATCCTGTTCCGGTCGATGCTGCCCAGCTCCTGGTCTCCGATGATCCTGTGCCGGCTGCCCAGCTCCTGGTCTCCGATGATCCCGTGCCTACTGCCCAGCTCCTGGTCTCCGATGATCCCGTGCCTGCTGCCCAGCACCTGGTCTCCGATGATCCCGTGCCTGCTGCCCAGCACCTGGTCTCCGATGATCCCGTGCCTGCTGCCCAGCTCCTGGTCTCCGATGATCCCGTGCCTGCTGCCCAGCTCCTGGTCTCCGATGAACTCGTGCCCGATGCCCAGCTCCTGGTCTCCGATGATCTCGTGCCCGATGCCCAGCTCCTGGACTCTGACGATCCTGTGCCCGATGCCCGGCTCCTGGTCTCTGACGATCCTGTGCCTGATGCCGGGCTCCTTGTCCCTGATGTTCCGGTGCCTGATGCCCAGCTCTTCGCCTCCGCTGATCCGGTGCCTGACGCCCAGCTCTTCGCCTCCGCTGATCCGGTGCCTGCTGCCCAGCTCTTTCCTTCTGGTCCTGGTGCAGAGGGGAGGCCCCTTGCAGCCGAGGGACCTGGGGATCGGGACATCTACCGCAAGTGGGGTGATCATGTGCGCAAGCCCAGGCCTGGTAGTGGTGATATCCTGGGGAACGGGGGAGTTCCATTTGAGCACCCCTTGCTTTGGTGGACTTGGCGGCCTTGCAGGCTTTCCGTGCCCTTGGACTTCGAGGATGCGTATGGACTTTGTGGGAGCGTCCGGAGTCCGCTCCTTGAGAGGGGGGTACTGTCAGGATCCAGAGCACCCCCAGGTGGCGCTGGAGCCAGGTCGTGTAGTTCCTGTGCTCGCCTGCGGGTGTGTCCAGCAGCCAGGAACTGTCAGGAACCTGCAGCTCCAGTACTCACCTGCAGGTGTGCCCCAGCTGTGACTGATCATCCCATCACCTGGTGCTTCCTGGGAGGGTTTTTTCGTCACCTGCACCTGACTGACTCCCCTGGCCTGTGCCTTGGAACCTGAACCCTGCTACCTATCTGCAACCCTGTCACTGACCCAGCTTGTTACCTGACCACTCTCCGTGAAACCTGTTCCTGTACTGCGCTGCCCTCCTGTTAACGACCCGGCTTGTACCTGACCACTCTCCTTGTATCCTGAGGCCTGCCGTATATCTGCAGGCCTGTTACCCCTCCTTGTTGCTATTCCCCCTGGCTGTAGGTGTGTGTTTGTCCCAACGGTGGGTTTGTTACTTCACTGCTAAACCTGTGGGGGGTTGAGGGGGTTTGTAGTTTTGTTGATGTGTACCAAATAAACTGTGTGCATAGAACCCTATCCTGTGTGGGCATATTAATTTGGTCATCCTGCTTGGGTACCTACATGTGGTGTGAGGACGCCTGTGCATGGTACCCTGACACCACAAAAGTGGCTTTGACAGAAAGCAAAGGGGTGACTTGGATCTGCGACCTGGTGATAAGGTGTGGTTGTCGACTCTCAATTTGAAATTGCCTTGCCCGTCGAAGAAATTGGCTCCGAAGTTTATAGGCCCTTTTCCGATTAAACGGAGGATTAACCCTGTGGCTTATGAATTGCTCCTGCCCTCATCCTGTAGGATCCATCCAGTCTTCCATGTGTCCTTACTCAGGCGACATGTTTCGGATGTGTTTCCTGGCCGGGACCCTGGCCCGCCTCCTCCGTCTGTCATTGATGGTGTCGAGGAATACAAGGTGGAGGCCATCGTGGATTGCAGCAAGAGGAGTAGGGGTCTTCAGTTTCTTATGAAGTGGAAAGGCTATGGCATGGAGGAAAATTCCTGGGAACCCGAGTCTAACGTCCATGCTCCTGGCCTCATCCAGAATTTTTTTCGAGCTCACCCTGGCAAACATGCCCAGATGGGCATCCGGAGGTTGCCCGTTAGGAGTGGGCAATGTAAGGGCAAAATGGGGGCCGCACTTGCACGCAAGCCAAATCTCCATGTGGCCGGAAAAAAAGCACCATTGTGCGCAGGCACGTGCGAACCAGGAGTGCGCAGAAATTCGCACAACAGCCGTCGCACAGGAAGTGATGCTGTCACCTGGTTAAGCTCACCATATAAAAACAAGCCTGCCCCTGCTCCATTGCTGATGGTCATTTCAGCTAAGTGTTCCTGTGTGTTGTGCCTGTTGGATTCCTGTGACCTGCTTGACCTGGTTTGTTTGGACTTTGCTATTTGATTGCTGCCTGCCCCTTACCTCGACCTGTTTCCTGGACTTTGCCTTCTGCCTCCTGATTCGTACTCTGCTGCCCGGCTGGCTCCGACCTCTGGCTTTCCTGACAACGCGGAAGGACACGTGACACCTGGTAGCAGTCAGACGGGACAGAGGATCAGGTGGGTATGTCTTCTTAATTTCAGCTTCCTAGAAAAAATGAGAAGTTAACACTTAGTGGGTAGCCCCATGGCAAGGGTTAACTTTTTACAGTCCTGGAGTTCCACTTTAACCCTTTGTTAGGACAGGCAGTCCTGTTCATCTATTTTACAAGTGATAATTAAATCTGCCAGCACAGTATTATTTTCAAAGTTATGCTGTGATGTGAATGGGAACATGTAACAAATATACAATAGGTGTTATCCCAATTTGCCTGATAAAGTGGAAATGGACTTAAAGAAATAGTCAGGTGTAGGGTTGCCACCCGTCCAGTTTTCACCCGGACAGCCAGTGGGCACCCAGACACAAGACACTGAGTGCCGACACTGGCACTTTACATTTTCTGACAGGTGCGGCTGCCGAGGTCCACAGCAAGGGTGATCTCGAGCAGCCGCATCGGCCTGAAACCTGGATCTTCCTCTGTGCCCGCAGCTCAGAGAAAGATCCGGGTTTCAGGCAGATCACGCTTGACTAGGACCTCAGCAGCCGCATCTGTGATTGCTCCTCCTCTCTTCTAGCTCTGGTGATCTATCACATAGAGAAGAACGAGGAGACGTGAGGCTATGTAGATACACATGTGGTTGAAGGGAAGAGACATGAAGAGGCAGGGCTATGGAAATAGCTGAGCGGCAGGGGGGGAGCAAGATTTCCAGGGAAACAGAATTTGACACAACACCGGCTCCCTGACACCGTGCTGCCCGCCTGAGGACATCATAGTCCAGTCAGTATAGTTCTCTATAGCTGGTCTCCTTACTCCCTCCCCTGGCTGCCTCTCCTCGCTCTCTCCTATATATTCTCAAAAAAATATAGGGGCTTGAAGGTTCAGGTTTCACTTGAAGAAAAGGTGGCAACCCTAGTCAGGTGTTTTATTTCTTCATCACCAAAACTAAACTATCTATAGAAAAAAAATAAAAAAATGTAAGTAAAATGTAACAAAATGTCCCACTTTGCTATCTGTGCCAAATTCTATGTATCTATGTATGTATATGCATAGGTCTTACACCGGTCTACTGCCTAGAGGTAGATTCAGATATAGTACAAGATTTAGTTTATCAGCATTTTAATGAGAGGCAGACTGAACTTGAAATCCAGGTCAGCAAACACTACTTTAAACTCAGATATTTACCACTTACTTCCTGATATTGCACAGTATGTTGAAATAGCATGACTGCTTCCTTTCATCGTGGAGCCGCCCACAGATTAAAGACATTACAAAATGCTAGGGTCATGCATGCATGGACTGCTGTTTCCTCATTTGCAGCAGACTGTGTACAAGTTACCAGTGGCAGCCTACATCTTGAGTGACTTAAAATGGTGAGTGCTGCTTTTTCTACACTTATACAGAACTTTGTAAAAGATTAGGAACTATAACAGCTAAATGTCTAATTACTTATAGCCTCAAAGGAAATTATAATAAGGCAGTATTATTAGACTTTGTTCACCCAAGATTAGTTTTACCTCATTTGTGTATCACTCTGCTGTATATCCTCAAATGTGAATTTGTGCTGACAATGTCCTTCCTACTGGAGGGTGGCTACTTTTGTTCCTCATGGTCCCTGTGTGTGTTGTAAAGTAGCCACCGCTCCAAGCTCGCTCCCGTGATGGACTACAATCTCTTGTGCAATGTCTTTTGATTATGGACTAAACAGAACTTTTAGGATACCATCTTTCAGGAGTATTACATAGGAACTTCACACTACCCACCTAAAATTAAATTAAAAATCCGTACCTGTCTCTCTTGGGGAAAAAAACAAAAAAAAAACATACTCTCTAATCCTTGGAGTCTAGCGTTGTCTTCCTGGCAGACCAAAGTTCTGCACAGACAGGTCTATGGAACCTGGCAGAGACATACGGCATACCCTGCATGGGATCTCATTATTAAAACACCGCAATACTGTCCTGTGATGTTTGGCATAGACATGCCAAGATACAGTAGGGGCTGTACCAACTTCATCCTTGCCTAGGTGAGGATGCAGGAAGAGAAAAAAAAGATATTTACTGTTGGGGGAAAAACAATTCTGCAATTGCTGAAAAGGGAGCGGGGAGGGGGCACGGTGAAAGGAAAATGTTTTCAGTAGTGAAGGTTCACTTTGGGAATGCTTTGGACAGATACTACTAAAATTGCATGACACAAGTATGCAATCTTAACAAAACCATTGTATGATACATTTTAAAAAAGTAACATATTTATTTGTTGCATGGTGTGGAAAATCTAGATATTTGGGTTACTGTGATCAGTTCTAAGCATTAGGTTTAATATGGATTCCTGAAACTGAATCAAAGTTTAACCTTCTTTCTGGCTTTTTTTTGTAGTAATGTGTAGTCTCAAAATTTTCTCTGTAATTCAGATTTGAGCTTTCATTTTAGTATCAGTACATGAATATGTTCCATACTACTGTGTTTCCCCGAAAATAAGACAGTGTCTTATATTCTTTTTTCTACGAAAAAAGACAATAGGTCTTATTTTTGGGGGATGTCTTACCTGGCTTGGCTGCAGCTGTCCGCTCTGCCGTCCAGGGAGCCACAGACAGGTGGGCGTGCCTGTCGGGGGGGCGGGAGGGAGCACGGTATGAGTTGTTTTAAAGAAGGGCTGCTTCACTATTGTTGAGTGAGACACATAATTTTTCTTATTTACCATTTGAAGGGATATTAAGGTATTCAGCTGTTAACATCAATATGTTAACAGCTGAATACCTTAATAGTTTGAATAGCACGATAGTTTGAATATTGGTAATGATTTTACATTACTGGTAATTTGTTTTGTTCAACCACTATATGAAACCACTTGGTGGGGCACGTTGAACACAATATCATGTAAACTTCATTTGATTTGATCTGTGATGTGATAATATAACTGTGGTTTGGAAATGTGCTTGTTTTAGTGATTCTACCTCAAGCTTCTCTGACATTAATTTTCCTTAAACTTGTAAGTTATTTGTGGAAGAAAATATTCATATCTGTAAATATTTTCTTTATTATTCCCCTAAAGTTTTGACTGCAAAACATAGTTTTTTTCCTGTAAGACATTAGCTGTGGTTGTCATTTTGCCGTTATCAACCACACATTGGTATGCCAGGCTGTGGTTCACAGCTCAAGCAAGTTTGTTTCAGTAAAATAAAACAATCGGTTTCCATTTCTCTATGACAGCCCATAACTGAGATGTCCTACCTTCTTTCTTCCAGGATAAAATGCCGAAGAAGAGATTCTCATTGGTCAGCGTGGTCATGTGATCGCGCTGACCAATCAGTGCTCCCCATTGCAACAGTTATGTTGCTATACAGTCTCTGGGATTGTGTAGCAATGTTTTCAAATTCCTTAAACATTATAGCAGCTGGAGTGGGTGACAAGTGAGGTCCTCATTACAGATAAGTGGTGCAGGGACTTGGGGGGGTGAAGAGTTTGTTGTGAGTTAGTTCACCTTTTCATTTTTTGCAAAAAAGGTGAACCTATCCTTTAAGGACTAAGGGAATATGCGTTCTAAATCTTCATCCTGGTGCCACAGACATTCATCATAGCTTGTACACATTCCACTGATACCCAGGATTGACAATACACATTGCACTAATTCAAGGGACAGACAATACACTGCACACACATTAATATGCATAAGGACAGGCTGTTGAAGCATTCAAGACCTATAACAGGCTAGGCACGCACACAGTTCCCAAGTCTCTAACTGTAGATAAAATATTACTGTAACGTGGACTGTTCCTTTGCATGGAACGATTTTTTGAATGGAACGAAAATATAAATAATATTTAATTATAAATAAT